GAAAACGGCTGGCACAGGAGACATACATGTGACAGGGCCAGGAGATGCCTGTGCTAAAGAGCTCAGTGCAGAACGAATCTCTAAACTGGAAAACTGCTGGTGAGATAGAACAAGTGAGAATAGAGATCCACGTGGATGTGAATGTACACCTGAGTTTACACACGTGCACACACACACATAACCACATACACACACTTCAAAGCAGCAAGTAAAAACTGAGCCAGGCTAAATGTTCAACTTGCCCAGAAGGGCAGAAGTTACCGACATCCAATGAGAGGAAACTAATGGGAGGAAGTCACTCAGGAGGGAACTGACGGCCATATCGGCCTCTCTCCAACTCGCTGGTGACCACGATCCCTTTTCAGTCCTTTGTGCCACATTTCTAAGCCTTTCACATCCCTGAGACAAGCTGAGAAGTGAAGGTCTGTAAAGTCAAAAGTTACATGTGGCTATAATTTGATCTAAGCTTTTCAGAGAAATGTGGGGTTTCTGGAGATTTCCAGTCACTTTGCTCTCGTCACTAGAGTCCACGGAGTCTCTCAATCTGTGCGTCATGACCCTTTGGGGCCACAGACCAGGTATCCTGCACATCAGATATTTTACATTAGGGCTCATATCAGGAGAAAAATTAGTGCTGAAGCAGCAACAAGATAATTTTATGGTTCGGTGGCTACCACAACATGAAGAACTGTATTAAGAGGTCATAGCACTAGGAAGGTTGAGAACCAGTGCTCAGTGCAGTGAGGCTCAGTGGGCAGTGCCTGTTACATTTCCAAGGGAAGACGGCTGCTGAGAATTGAACTCAGGACCTTTGGGAGGACAGCCAGTGCTCTTAACCTCTGAGCCATCTCTCCAGCCTGCAATGGCTTCTTTTCGAATTACAAGGTTCAGCTAATTAAGGAAGTAAAATTTCATACTCTCCACAGCTATAAGAAACCTCTTCTTTTTCATTTGGCACTGTGCATCTGGGCTCTGGGCCTCTAAGCCATATCCCCAACCCCAAAATTGGCTTAAAAAAACAAACCAAACAAATAAACCAAACAAAACAGTCTCTTTTTAGTTTAGACTAAGCTTTGACTTGCAACTGTCTTTTGAATGCTGGACTTTCCCCCCACCCCAAGATAAGGTTTCTCTGTGTAGTTCTGACTGTCCTGGAACTCATTCAGCTCTAAGCTGGAGCTGAACTCTGAGAACCACTGCCTCTGCCTCCCGAGTGCTGGGATTAAAGGCGTGCGCCACCATCACCCAGCCTACAGAGACTTTTAATGTGGGTGCCACACCTGTCCACGGCAGGCTGAGAGCTATGAAGGACTCCACTGAGGCAGTGTGCTGCGCAGGGCAGCACAGGGCAGGAATCGGGGTCTGGCCTTCGCCAGGAGAAATGGAGTAGTGGACACCGATGCCGTGGTCCACAAATGGCATTTCCGGGTGGGGAAACCCCAGCAGGCTCTGAGCAGGGTCAGCTGTGGTGTCCCCGTCTTCCTCTCAGGTGTGCTGAGGGGAGGGCCTGCTGATCTCTGCTCTTTCTTGGAGAACACAAGTGCCCCCCCTTCAGAGAGGAGTGTGTCTTCCTTCATCAGGCAGCAGCATCTGCCTACATTCGAGCAGAACCCGCATGGCATCAGCACCACGGGCAACTCGGGCTGATGAGGCGGAAGCAACGAGGCCCTGGGCTGAGGAGCAGAAGCAGCAAGGTGTCCGACTTGGGGAGGGGGTCTTAAAATTTCAAAGACAAACTGAGTTTCTTTTTTCTGCTTCTTCTGCTTCACCCCAGAACCCCCTAGCATACGAAACCCAAGGTTAGAATTTGGGGTCCAGGGCCACAGAAGACAGCCCACTGCACTTCCTTACCTGAGCAGTGGGCTAAAGACAACATTCAGGACACACACACAGACAGTCTACGCTGCAGAAGCTAGGATCTCAAGCAGACAGGGTGGGGTCATGTGGCAAAAAGTGGGTTTGGACCACTCCCTCCACAACGTCCTGAACGCAAATTATCTTTTCAGGTACAGAGATGACCTCAGCCTTGACGTAAACATTCTCCAGGGAACTGTTAGGAGGAGGAGGAGGCGAGGAGGGGAGACAGGGTATTAGACAAGACGGGGGTCTGTTAACTGGGAGCAAGCAGCAGCCCTTTTTCAGCATCAATGGCCGTGAGTGGGACCCCCCCCAGCACTGCAGAAGCTGGGGGCACTGAGAGGGGCCCGTGGCCAAGTGGGTCCCCGGAAGCTTAAGACTGGGATGAAGAGCACAGAGGCCAACTCACACCACCTATGCAGGAGCCAAGGGTCCTTCCTGCCGCCCGACCGGTGATATGGCTGTGGATATTACACAGCCCTCAGGGGAATCAGACGAGGGCGGTGCTGTGTTCTCACGGTGCACGGGGTAGAGCCGTGAAGCATGTGTGCGCTGGGCAGGTGCTCGACCACCGAGCTACACCCCTCGGCCTGGCTTTGGATTCCTTTCACTCACGCTTGTGTGCATGTACGTGCGAGCGTGAAGGCAAGATGTTGACATGAGGGGTGTTCCTCCTGATGTCACCACATTATTTAAACTTTTTCATTATCACATTTACCTTTCTTTTTACATTTTTATTCACTTATTTGTGTGTGTGTGTGTGTGTGTGTGTGTGTGTGTGTGTGTGTGTGCGCGTGCGCGCTCCGTCTGTGCGTATGTATGTGCACAGGGGCCCACAGAGGCCAGAGGAGAGTGTCAGATCCGCTGCAGCTGGAGGTATAGTGTGAGCTGCCTCATGTGGATGCTGGGAACTGAACTCTGGTCCCCAGCAAGTGCTCTTAGCTGCTGAACCATCTCTTGACTATGCAAGGGTGGCATGAAGTTCTTTCTATCCTGTGGGCCCCAGAGACTTAACTCAGGTCATTAGGTTCAACAGCAAGGACCTTTAATCAACGAGCCACTTTGCCAGGCCACTACCTGATTTATTTTTTATTTTTTATTTTTGTCACCATGCCTGGCTTTTATTTTATCTTTTAATGTGGGTTGTGGGGATTCGAACTGATGACTAAGTCATCTCCTAGCTCTGGTTTTATTTCTATGTATTTTTGTTCCAGGGCTTTTTGTTTCCCCCTGATCGTCTCAAACTAGCCCTATCTGCCTTCAAACTCATGTCAGGCCTCTCCTTAGGCTCCCCATGGCTAAGACTGCAGGCATGGCCTGTTGTACACAGTACATGTGACTATGGCTGGCTTTTAACTCAGAGAGATTTACCTGCCTCTGCCCCGAGTGCTGGGATTAAAGGTGCGTGTTACTGGCCTGATTTAATTTTTTCTGAGACAGGGACTTACTATTTATTCCTGGCTGGCCTGGAACTCACTCTATCTAGACCAGGCTGGCCTCAAACTCAGAGATCCACCTGCCTCCGGCTTCCAAGTATTGGGATTAAAGGTGTGTTCCACTATATGTAGCTTGGCCTGACTTTAAAAAAAATTAAATTTTTTTGTGTGTATCAGTATCAATAAAGGACTTGTGTGTCATGGCCAGTGTCTGAATGCCAGAGGACAACTTGTGAGAGCTGGTCTTTCTGCACCATGGGTCTTGGGAATTAACCGGCTGTCAGGCATGGAAGCAAACGCCTACACCTGACAAGCCATCTCGCCGGCTCCAGACTCTGGGTTTTAAATGAGTGGGCCAGGAAGAGTCTCTCTAAGGAGAAAGGATGGGGAAGAGTAAGAAACTTTCTACTGCCCTGCACTTCTGTTTTCAGGAGGTGTGGAAACCCCAAGGGCAGGTGAAGGGAAACCGATCAAGAAGAGGACAGCGGCAGTTGCCCTGCTGCTGACCGCCAGTTGCCGGATGCTTGTTCATCTTGCAACATGGCAGCCTTCCAGGAGACAACGGTTCAAAGTCTAGGAGCAAGACTCCAGATGGGCTATTTCTCTGCTGAGCTCTGTACAGGAAGACGACAGATCCTCAGTTCCGAGTGGCCGGGCTTCTCTTGCCCTAGAGGGATCAAGGCCAGCTGGGAAGTCTGTAAGAGCAGATACCTAGGCCTCCTGTGTGGGGTTTCTGATACAGAGGGTCTGGGCTGGGGTCTGAGAATCTGCAGGCTTTTTTTTTTTTTTTTTTAAATAATTTGTTTAATTTTTATTTTATGTGCATTAGTATGAAGGTGTCAGATCTGGGAAATGGCATTATAGACAGTTGTGAGCCACCATTAAGGTGCTGGGAACTGAACCTGTGGGACCTTTGGAAAAGCAGACAGTGCTCTTAACCACTGCGCCCTCTCTCAAGCCCCAGAGAATCTGCATGTCTAATAAGCCCGAAGCTCTCAGTGGATCTGTGTGCAGTAAGTCCCAGGACCCTGTGAGGACGTCTGAGCAGAGGCAGTAACAGTCAAGCTTCTCTCATGCTCAAGGTTACTGTGTGATGTACCCGAAGTGAAAATGGCTGAAGCTGAACCGTTTCAATCGTTTTCGAATCTGAGACTTTACTTTGGGTGCTGGGGACAGAATCGTGGGCGTGCTAGGCACGTGCTCTCTCCCTGAGTCCCCGCCCCAGCCCGTGCTTGCGTCAGCCGTGCCGCTGGTGCGGGTGGGGGTCCTAGTGGATGCGAAAGCTACACACTGTGAGGGCTGAGATTCGGGATGAAAGCCCCGACTTGAGTGTGAATGAACTGGCCAGCGGCAGAACAGGCAAGGGACTAGGGTGCAGGAGCAGGGTGGGTGGAGTGGCGGCTGTACGTTTGGTTCATTTTTTTTTTTTTTTTAATAAAAACTTGGAAAAAAACTCAAACAGCAAGAACTATCTCATATAGTCCTCTGCGGCATATCTAGAAGGACCTGGCAGCTGCTTCACTTTGGTTGAGCTAGGGATGAGTCCCGGGGCTTTGGCTCTGACACTGAGCCTGGAAAAGGGTTTGCGCTTTGCCACTTGGTTATCAGGTTGGTTTCTCCTCACTGTTGTGAGCAGGGACTGGGATGGAGGACAAGAGGGAGGGGCGTCTCGGGGTTAGTGCCAACAGCGGGCGACGCTATACGTACCACCCAGGTGCAAATCGATGAGGCCACTGTAATAAGACTCTCCCCAATAGTCTACAACAAGGAATCGGTGAAGACAGAGTTACTGGATCAGGTGACCCTGCTGCCACCCCGACCCAAGGCTGCCAAGGGCACGGCACGCACAAAACAGACAGAAACAGTGTGAGGGAGCCCAGCGGGGCGCTGGAGAGCGTGCACGTCTGTCAAGTGTGGCATGCACACGTACGCGCATGGTCTCTGCAGCTCGTGGTGTGGAGGGAGGGTGAACCCAACGTCACGGTGGACGGAGCTGCCTCCCCTCCCCCAACAGCAGGGAGATTCCTGTTCACACCTCCCACTCAGTGAGCCTGGGACTGGGCCTTGCTGGGAACTCCAGCCACTCCCCCCCCCCCCCCCCAAGGCAACCTCGCCCAAGAGTTAAGAAAGTTTAAGGGTAGACCAGGGGCACTCTCTTAGTTTCTGAATATTAGAGGCTCCAACCTAAGGCTTTCGAGATGTGAACCTTAGGTGGGGGAGTAAAGAAAAGAAAAAAGAAAGTTCTGGAGGCCGAGCAACTTGCAAGTGACTCCGTTAGGGGTGGGAATGGCCTCCTTGGAGAAACGACCTTGCTGAATGGGCTTAAGACGAAGGCCCCATGTCTTCTGAGAACCTTTTCTTTCAAGATAAGAAATGAGCTGCAACATTGGCAGAATTCACACACTAAATGCTCCGAGGCTGCTGGCCACAGGCCATTCTTGCTTCTTGGCTCCTGGCACTGTCCAGCAGTGTCCCTTCTTAACACGCCTAAGGTGCAAAGAGGGGGGTCCTGAGTTGGCACCAAAGTGTCTGCCGCTCTCTGCACCCCATGCTCTGGATGCTGACCCGGCAACCACAACCTCCTCTTTTAGGGATGGATATGTCAGAGAGCTGAGTGCCCTCCAGTGGCTTTCCAGCTCATGTGCGAGGCCAGCCTAGTGGTTCTAAGCCTGACTCTGGAAAGAGAGAAGCTCCCCTTGGATTCCAGAACAAGAATCCCACACGCCTTAGCCTTGCCTTAGCTCTCCAGGGCTCTGAAGCTAATCCACATAGACTGTATAAACAGAAGTCTTTGATGAATACAGAGGACCTGACCAGATCTCTTCTCTTTGCTAGCAAAACGTGGCCCCTTTGACAGCAATGGAAACTTGAAACCGCCACATGGGACAGGATGGCAGGTTCTGCACAGCTCAGGGAAGGAGCTAAATAGTGCAGCTAAGGAGCTGCTGTGTGCCTCACCCAGCCAGGTAAATGAGACTGACAAGTGGAACAGAATGAGAAACAGAAAGCTGCTGCCTCCGAGCACACCCAGTCTCTAAGAAATCCCTGCCAGGAAGGGACAAGTGCCACTGAGAACTGACACTAGACTAGTGCTGGGAGTAGTAGAGTGTTAACGCTAAGAAAAGGAAGAGGCTGTTTTCGGAGATACAAAGGCATCACAGGGCAATGGTTCAACAGCCTCCAAGGTGCACCTGCAGGGGACTGCCTCCCTGGTCCAGGAGTTTGTGCATAGAGCTGCCTATGGTCAGGAGTTGGATGAGAACATGGATTTCAAGGTTCTGTTGAATCCTAGGGCTCTTGGAGAGGGCTCCAGGGGTCTCCCAGATATCTGGCCCACAGCGACTCTTAACTTTGAAGATGTAATACATAGCTTGTTCAAGTGCCTCCGCGTGTCAACGTCTGACCCACTGAAGACATCCAGGTAAGCCTGCTTCTGTATGTGTGTGGGGAAGGTCCAAGTTTCTTTTGCTTCATGTGCAAGAGACTTCTGAACTTGTCATAGATACATTAGTAAGAAGTTAATTAGTTCGAGTCCCGCTGGCAATGGCTGAGATCACATGCCACTGGACAGGGATCCTTGAGAAGGCTACCCCCCATCAGGCTGAGGAGGTGCTGGCTTCAGAGGACGCAGCTGGTCCTGCAGATGGCTAAGGTATCATGCCAGCACACCACAGCGTGGCTGGGGCTGCTCCTTGTGCCTGGGGCCTTGTTTGGGATCTTTTTTAAGAGTTATTTTGATTTAATGTGTATGAGTGTTTCGCCTGAATGTGCGGGCATACCACATGCCCGGTGTCTGCGGAGGATGTTGGATCCTGTGGAACTGAAGTTAGTTACAGGTGAGCAGTCACGTGGGCGCTGGGAACAAGATCCCCTGCAAGGCCACCAAGCCCTCTTGACTGCTGAGTAATCTCTCCAGCCCTTATGCTTGTTTTTCGGTTTTGTTTTGTTTTGTTTTTAAGGATACGAATGGCTGTGTGTGGTTCGGCTGCTCTATTTGGGAGAGCACACACTTGTGCCTGCTGGGATGCCCTCCGCATTGCTCTCAGGCTTCCCAAATTCTGCGGCTCTCATCAGAACATGCAAGTTCATGTGTGCTCGGCTTTTCAAATTTTTTTTTTTTTTTTAGACAAGGTTTCTCTGTGTAGCCTTGGTTTCCCTTTGTAGACCAGGCTGGCCTCAAACTCACGGAGATCTGCCTGCCTCTGCCTCTCCAATTAAAGGCGTGAGCCTACCAGGCCTGGCTTATGGCTTTTCGATTAAAAACATTTCTTTTAGAATAATCCTTCTGGCTTTTAGGCCTCAGCTAACAACTGTGTATAATGAGCTCTCCCGCCAAAGCAAGTGGAAAACATTCAGGTTGTGGCTGTGTGTGCGTGCAGACACGTGAACACTGATGTCTGTGGGGTTCAGGAGGGAGGCAGTCCCCCTGGAGCTGGAGTTGCAGACTGCGGTGAGCCTCCTGACGTGGGTGCTGGGCACTGAACTCTGGTCCTCTGTAAGGGCCGTAGGAGATCGTAACTGCTGAGCCATCTCTCTGGCCTCTCTGACAGCTTGCAATGGCATCACTTTCTGGCTCACTGGTAGCGGCTAGAGTGACATGCCTTTTACAGAGGTGGGGAAGTACAGAGACAGACATCAGTTGCATGGACTCTTAAGCACTCTCCAGAGACCCATCGACCGAAACGGCTCTCTCTCTTGAGCCCCTGGACCTTGTGAACAGGGAGGGACGGAGTGCTCTTGGGAGACTCTATGAACGTGAACTCACGCGCCTAGACAGTACTGCCAGCTACTGGTGTGGGACATAGCTGCCCCTTAGCTGAGGTGATCTGGAGAAAGGTGAGGGGAGAGCTCCGGGTTCCCTTCTGGCGTTTTGTGTGTGAAGAGAATAGTGGAGAAGACAGGGCTTTCCAGTTCTGTTGCCAGGGATCTCTGGAGGGAGGCTTAACCCGGCCTGGTACTCAGGAAGTGGAGCAAGGGGAGGCTAGCAGGCGGGTGGGGACACCCTTGGCATGGTGAGTTGGGAAGCCAAGCAAATGAGTGGTGAATCCCTTCTTCACTGCTGGCCATGGGAGCCAGTGTTCCTTGTACCAGTGGTTTCCGGTCTTCTTAACTGGCTGGATACGGAGCGGCCTAAGCTTCTGCACTCCCGTTGGCAGCCCGGGCTTCAAGAGTTGGGTACAGCATCAGGCAAGGCACAAACCCAAGGACACCCACATCCTCATCTTTTTTTCTCTCGGGACACGTCTTCACCTGAGGAGCATCACTGAGCTGACTGATGAGCACCATTTTGGAGACTGAGAGGGCCTGAAGAAAGATTTGCTTCCGTGCCTGCTCCGACTCCTCTACTGGGAATGCCAGTTGCAATGTTGGATCCCTGACCCCAGGCCCATGCCTCGAGGCTAGACCACTGGCCAGGGTTCAGGAAGCCCATGAGGCAGCAGCTGGCCCTGTCTGACCTCCCAGATTGCCCTTTAGCTTGCCTGCCAGGTTTACCAGCTTGCTTCCCTGTGCCTGGAAGGAAGCCGCAAGAGGCTCTGACCTTCTACCCAGAGACAGCTCAGATAACTCATCTTCTCTCTACCCACCGTTAAGCCCAGCAGGCTCCAACCACGTGGCCCTTGTCACAGCTCCCCACAGCTCTGCCACAATAGCTGACCACAAGCTCGAGTCTCTCCAACACTGCTCTTAGTGACTGGCCTCGGGTGGACACAAGCCTGGGCTCACCCAGGGAAGCTGGAAGCCCCACACAGGAGAGGATGCAGGCTCTGTCTGTGGCTGTGCAGCTTGGACTGGAGGGAGCCCAGGGGATCGAGGACAGGAGGAGCACGCATGAGAGCAGGCTAAGGCCTGTTGAGTGCAATTCTGTGATGGTTCCTTGTGGGACAATCTCCCTCATTCCCGGATACTTCCTTCTAGAGAGAATGGTAGGGAGGGGAGGAGCAGGGAGAGGAAGAGGAAGCCCAGGGTTCGCCAACAATGGGTGACAGCACCCAGAATTTCGTTCCTCATGCCAACAGCAAGCTGAAGAATGGGCTGGGAAGCAGGCCTGGGCGTCTGCGCTGCCCAAACGTAGGGTAAGCGCCGGACCCTGGTTATGCCAGTAACTCAGAAAACCCTGCTAGAGAAGGAGCCCGATTCCAGAGGAGGTGACATGAGGCTCGCCTCCAGGAAGGAAGGGAGGCTCTCTCCTTGAAAGCAAGCATCCTCACAGAGGACGCAGGACAGTACCTGCTTCTCCTCGCAGAGCCTTCTCCACAGCGACGCCCCTCTCCTCCAGCTGCCTCTGCTTCTCCTCCACTTGCTCCAGTTGCCGCTGGATGATCTGCCGGGAAACAGAACGTAAGCTTCCAGCCTGTTCTTTCCTCCAGCTTCCCGGAGGAGAACTGGGCTGCAGACCCGAAGAGGGAGAAAGCCAGAGACTGTCAAGATGTCGAAAGGGGCCACTCCGGGCAGTGTGGCGTGCCAGCTGCATGTGGCTGGATCCCCAGGGCTTGTTCTCTTTCCCTGGAATAGGTCAAACGCATTTAAAAATGATTCCACTGAATCTTTACCATAAGAAGACCGTAGAGCACTGGGCAGAGTGATGACAAGTCCCGCCTCAGTAACCTAGAAAAGCGTCTAGAATGGTCTAGGACAGTGGCTCTCAGCCTTCCTTAACGCTGTGACCCTCTAACACAGTTCCTCATGTGTGGTGACCTCAACCATAAGCTGCTTCGTAACTGTAATTCTGCTGTTAGGAAGCGTAATGTAAATATTTTATATGCAGGCTGTCTGATAGGCGACCTCTGTGAAAGGGTCGTTTGGCCCCCAAAGGGGTTGTGACCCACAGGCCGAGAGCCACTGGTCTAGGATGAGGCCCGGGGGTGAAGACTGACAGCAACCAGGGGTACTTCTGAGCTGTCCCTATAAAAATCTCAGCACATTCGGGATTTTTATAGGGAGTTTATCAGAGTTTATCATAGGTCCTGACTCTATGGTTAAAAGCGAACTCGCGGACTCGACATCTGCTCTGGACCAGAGCTTTCAGGAAACTCAATGCATGGCCAGTTCTTTTCACAGACAGCGCCTCCAGGAGGGGCCTCTCTAAGAGCAGGGTGCTGGGGCACTTCCAGGCTGTCATCATGGACGACAAGGACGCCCTATCTGCTTCTGCCCTGGCCTCTCCACCTTCCTTGCTGTAGATGAGGCCCTCTGTGGGCACAGGGTGGGTGCCCCGCTGCCAGCGTGTACCTGGGCTCGGTGCAGCCGCTTCAGCTCCTCCTGCTTGGCCTGTCTCCGTGCTGCCCTCTGCACCCGCCGCGTCAGCTTGGCACTCAGCTCCTCTTCTGTGTAGGTTCTGGGCTAGAGAGGGGGAAGGGAGAGCTCCTAAGTCGGCTGCCTGCAGGTGGAGGCTGGTTTGGGTGGTGAGCTGGCAAAGGTCTAAGGAGGACTGTATTCTGTGAGGGAGCCGCTACCGGGAGAGTGGGTGAGGCTCGGCCAGAGACTTCTGGTAATTGTCCCTGCTGCAGTCTGGAACACCAGGCACAGCTAAAGACCCCAATGTGAGACACTTCATCTCTGTGGCTGTGAGGAGAGGCTTAATGCCGGCAAAGTGTCAGGAGGTTGAACCACAGAAGGACAGGAACTCCTCTGGCACTGGTATCATTGTTGCCATGCTGTGACAACAACGTTGCCATCATTGTTGCATGTCTGTGTTTTGTTTTTTCCCCAAGACAGGATTTCTCTGTGTAGCCTTGGCCATCCAGGACTCGATTTGTAGACCAGGCTGGCCTCGAACTCACAGAGATCAGCCTGCCTCTGCCTCCCCGAGTGCTGGGATTACAGATGTATGCCACTGTGCCTGGCATGTCTGTGGTTTTTTTTTAAAGCTATTTTGATGATTAAAAAAAAAAATACAACACAGTAAAGTGTTTCCCTAGGCTTCCTAGTTCTAAGGTGCAAGAAAAAGAAAAGGTTTGGGGAGGGAGGGCTTCCCCAGCCCTTTGTTTGGGATTACTTTCTCCAGGTGAGTGGAGTTCAAAAGGACTTTAGTGGCTACCATCTGAAGGAGAGAAGACACGCGTGCCTCCATTTTAAATCTCAGTGAATTCAGTCTAACCAGGGTGAAAAAGGACCAGTGACTGCTTGGGTCTGCAGAAGCCACGGCTGCCATGGAAAGGAAGGATAGAAGTGACCTGGCAGGGTAGCTGAGGTGGTGGGCTGTGAGCCTGGAGGAGGCAACTGGGCAATTCCCATGCAGACGCTGAGGAATGTCCCAGCCACCTGTACTCATGGGCCCCCACACTTGCAAGCACTCAGCGCCTGTACAGGCCACTGAGAAGCATGAGTGGGGGATTGTCTTCTGTGAGACCCTCCTGATCTGTTCCAAGAAAACAGAGAGACTTGACTGTAAAGGAACCATCCAACATTCAAGTTGGGTCTAGACTTCTCTCTCCTCAGGGAGCTCAAATGACAGCGGAAGGGTCAAGTGAACAGGCAGAAGCTGGTCTTTAGTGCTGTCCTAGTGTCCCAGTGCCCTAACGGTTTAGAGTGGAGGCTGATGACCATCCCTTCCTGGGCTCCCCGGACCCACAGGGCTAGCTCTGCCTCCACCCGTGACGACATGCACTCCAGTCAACGGAAGAGTGACCGTCTCCTCCTCTTTCTGGGACACAAGTGAAGAAGGTTTGACTGTGACAGCTGCATGCATGTGTGACACAGTTAGTGAGGACGCGGCTGCAGGGCCCAGCAGGGCTGTCCAAGGGGTTAATCACACACAGGCATGCAACGAGGACCAGCCAGCGGGAATGAGACACTACCTTTGATGAATAGGCTCTCCTGAATGCCAAGGCGTGTGGTACATAAATCGACTTTTAAGGGGATGGCAACGGAAAACAAAACAGAACAGGGATGATAATGATGATTAAAAATGACAACAGAATACAGAAATGGAACAAAATCCGTTAGAGGCTTAAAACGAACAAGAATTACTTACTCACACAATCATTTCCCACAATGGCACACAAGACTGCACAAAGGAACCTGGGTGAACAGACCCTAGCGGCCGAGTCTCACTGAACCCCACTGCTGAGCAATGTTGGGGTTCGCTTTTCTATTAACAGCATACCCTGAATCCCTTTGTGTCTGCTCCTTGTCGTATGCCAGTTTGTCGAAATGTGTGGGGACTGAACCCCTTTCAGCTAAAGGGGCCTCTTGCTTCCTTTATGCTCCTGCCATTGAATGCTTAGCATGGAATGGAAGCGGGAAGCAGGGAATGGGCACTGACCCGTCGTAACTCTCTGGACAGGTTCTCAAGCCTGGTGGTGTTCTCCAGCGGGGATACCTAGTTTGACAGTGTGATGCCCAGCTGCCCCGGGACTGGGCAAACCTGCTATTTCAGAATTATACCCAGGGAAGGGAACCCAAACAGCAGAAATCACCGTGATTCAGAGAAAGTACCAGTGTTCAGGCAACCATGGGAACCTCCTTCCTTCACACACTGACCGGAACTGCTCTCAGCCTTGGCCAGTCTCCTCTGCTTTCATGGTCTAATCATGGGGTCAGAGGAAGTGCCTGAAGGTCCCTATGGACCCAGGGAGGGAGGCAATTGGAAAATGGTGGTGTGCAGGACAGGGTGATGCTGAGGGGGCCTCAGCAGGGGACTCACACAGGATACCACATGCATGCTAGCTGGGGGATGAACTCGCTGCTTTTAGCGCCGAGCATGGGCGTCTCGCCTGCTCGATTCCTCTCTCCCACGAGGCAGACTGTGAGTCAGGTCCTCATGCAGAACGGCAGTTTGAAAAGGAAAAGCACAGATGAGGCCCCCGGAGGCTGACATGACACACTTCAAGAGCGGTGCTGACACCTGTCTGTGGCTGCTGCCTAGGCAAGAAGCCACCGAGGTCTCCGTCACTAGCTTGCTCACTGCTGGGACTGGTACCGACTCGGCTGTGGCAAAGACAGGGAGGGGAATCATAACATACTCGGGGGAAAGTGGGGCCAAGAGCATGGCTAGCTGGCTAGGGAGCTGCTTCGAGAGTCCCAGGGAGGATGAGGGGCTGGCAGAAGGGCAGGGCAGGTCCTAGTCGGCCTCAGGAGCAAGGAACTATCTGGGCAGGCTGCACTGTAGGGTCAGGCAGAAGCAAAGGGAAGCCATCTCTTGCTGGCAGGGCTTTAGGTGGCTAGAAAAGCCTGGATTGGGCTGGGGAGGGAAATCTGTTAGTAACGTACTGGTTTTGCAAGCATGAGGACTCGAGTTCAATCCGTAAGCCTCACAGGAAAGAAATGGCCTGGCGGGGTGTGCTTGCGGTCTTACAGCTGGGGAGGTGGGGAAGGGGGATCCTGTCTCCCAGGATGTGCTGCCAGTCTAGCCTACAGGTGAACTCTGTGCCCTGGACGCACACATAAGAGACGGACAGACACTTGAGGAGTGACACACAAGGTTCTTCTCTAGCTTTTCACACGCATGTTACACACATGCGCTTGCACACATATGAATATAAGCATATAACCCCCGAATAATTTATTTTTGTATAATAAATACTTAAGTAAAAACAAGGTTTTGGGTCTGTGTGTGTGTGTGTGTGTGTATGTGTGTGTGTATATGTGTGTTCCTCACTATGGAACCAAACCCAGGTCTTAAGTGCTGACTCAGGGCTTGGGTCTGTGAAACAGGAAGAGGACTGACTTCCACCTAAACCACACTTGGTAAGCCGAAGTCCATTTTTTCACTCTTGGTCCCCTTGCTCCTGATTGCTTCTAATTCTGGAAAGTTTCAAGCCCGGAAGCACTCAGGCAGGAAGCCAACGGTGTCGGACCACCCTGACCTCGATCCCCAGATGGCAGCAGTGTGGCAGGCTTTACACAGCCGCCTGAATTTGTTTTAGACATCACAGACCCAGGCCCTAGGGACTTCAGCCTGTAGCTCCTCCTCTGCAGAGACATCTCTTCCCAGGAATTACAACTGCGTCACCTGCTAGGGACGTCATCAACGAGTTGATGATGGTATTTAAAAATAAATACGTCTCACACTTGCCATTCACCATTAAGTGTCACCGGAGGCTGTGAAGTGTCCTTTACAGTTTCGCAGTTGTTTTGCTCTGGTTTCTTCCCCACCTATGGTCCGTATTTGTTTCTCCTACCCACCTGTATTTTTGACCCAGGATTTTGCTATGTATCTATCTCTGGGTGGTCCAGAACTTAATAGGTGGCCCCGGCTGGCCTTGAACTTACATAACCCCCAGTGTTAGGGTTGCTTGGGGTCACCATGGCTAGCGGGTTCAGTATTTTAAGAAACGCCATGTCCTGCCCTCATTCAAGAGCCATATCTGCTACTGCCCAGGCCCTGTCTGTCCTCCGCATTCCCTATGTGACCACCAGGGACTGAGCTTGTCCCCAGGGACCGCATGTGACACACAAGGTGTCCTGCTCTAGGAATCTGTGTGCGGCTTGTTAATGCTGCTAGGAAGTGAGTTCCTTTGCTCTTCATACCTGTGGTCAGTGGGAATTTATACCAAGGTGATGGGTTTGGCATAGCAGTGGGGGCATCCAGCACTCCCTGCTGTGGCAAGATGTTTCATTAACCCTGGAGAAGCAGCGTGACTTGACCACAGTGCAAACAGAGATAGGACATTTGACCAGTGGGACAGGAATTGTCTCGGCATGGGCACAGTCACCATGGAGGCAAAGGGGACTCTGGGCCACATTCTCTTCTGCTGAGGCTCCTTCAGGCTTCAAAAGACAGTACCGGCCCCCAGTACTGAGACGAGTTTTGAAACTCATGTGCGCAGCCACACACCTTCTCTGATTCAGTGACATCACCACCACCTGGAAGACCTCAGCAGGCACGCCCAGCAGCAACATACTAGAACGGGGTCCCCATGGAGAGCACTCCACCCTACCCTGCCCTGATGCAAGAAATGGGGACCTGGCTGCATGTGATGGAGGAGGAGGAGGGGTCTGTGGTTCTTGGTGGCGAGGACAGCACAGAAGAATTACACGGAGACAATACGGAATTACATGAGGAAGATGCAGAGGAACGGTGAATGTGGTTAGAGAAAAGTGGCTTTTTCTAGCCTGTCCAGTTATGAAAAGAGGAACTGGGTCAGGCTGGAGGGTGGCCTGAAACAGGAAGACGCCACCTCATTGAACAGACACAGGCTCTGTTAGGGGCAGAGCCACGGTGGCCCTGCTCTGGTTGGTCTGCAGTTCAAGGCTATTGACGGAGGGGACAACTTAAGTCCAAGCCTTGAGGAGTCATGTCAAAAAGGCACATGGTGGGGAGACAGGGGCAGCCACCGGGAGGCTGTCGGGCCCCAGCGGATCACCCGGCACCGGTGCCTCCAATTACTGCTCCGTCAGGGTCAATTCCTAAACAGAATCCTCTCTATGCAACCAATCTCCAGAGAGACAGCATAGCCAGGCCCATTCCTGAGGGAGACACCCGCCCTATCTCCTCTCCATGCCTGGTGACTACTCCATACTTGCATGACCCCAAGAAGTACCTCAGCTCTTCTCCCATGGTCTGGCCCTGACAGATACGGCTCATGGGGTAACTTGCTCAGGACAGGCTGCTAACCCATAGAGTACCCTGGCTCCTTCAGACTGAGGCAATACCTTTTGCTCTTTATTTCAAAGGTCCGAGAGACCTTCTCTGTGGCTTTTGCTGCTGGCACTCCAAAGCAGGTGCTGGCTCTCCACCCCAGCTTTAGACTGGCTTTCACAGTCTGCTACTCTACCAGAGAATAAAGTGATGCTTTGCCACCAGCTCTCTGAAGCCCTTCAGGGATTGGGCCCACCCACCTCTCGCTTGGACTTCTGGGAAGACCTCTCAAGAATGTCATCACTGGATAGGTCTGAGTCCTCTGAGAAGCTCAGCTGGCGCCGGAGCTGCAGCTCTGTAGGGGTGAAAAGAGGCCAAGTGAAGACAGCAGCCGGCACCTCGTGAAATCATGCTGCAGGAGGTCAGCCCCACAGGGAGACAGAAGCTTGTCCCCAAAGGTGATGGGCCAGCACCAAATAAATGGCCTTCTAGGCGCCTGTTCAAGATCCCTTGGCAGGACTCCTCTTTGTTCCACTCAAAATCAGGCTCATGCTTGGGGTCATGTGACTTTGGGAAGGGTACCAAGCAGGAATCTACCCTACCGAGTTTCAAGTTGGCATTTGCCTCATTTCGTGCGCTGGATGGGGCTGAGGTGCTCACGGCTCGGCTCGTTCCCTCCCCTAAGACCCCTTGTGGGAACAGCATGGGGGAAAACAGACCTTCTGACAGGGACGCACCACTCACACCTGTCCCGTGGGCATCCCTTGGCCACGCATACCTGTTTTCACGATCGGAGACGTCCTGCGCTGGCCGGAGTCCACCGTGGTGCCGCTGGATGGGGTGCTGGAGCAGGACTTCTCGTCACTCTTTTTCTTTTTGTCCTTCTTGTACCCAGAGAAGACTGATTTCCACAGGGACTTGGGCTTAGCTGCCACGTCCTCCGGGAGGCCTGGGCTGGGTTTCTCGGGAGCCCGGCCTTCCCCTTTGGATTTCTTCTCTTTCTTGTTCCGGCGGGGGGAGAAGAGGGACGACCTCTTTTTGCTCTTCCCGCTGGAGCCCTCAGAGGAGGTGACGGAGCCATCGGGGCCGCCTGAGTCTGAGGGAGGGGAGAGGATCTCTTCGCTGGTAGCTTCATGCTTCAGGGTGGTCTCCAGGGAGCCTCGGGGCGCCGGGCGCTTGCTGGACTCCGGCCCGAGTTCCTTGCCCTGGGATGGCATGGCGCGGGACCTGGAGGCCGCCATCTCCATGGCCTGCATCTTGCTCAGCTGTTTGGCCATGGCATCTCGCAGTGCCTGGCTCTTCACGGACTTCTCCCGGGCCCGCATGCGCTCCTCGGCCAGCTCCTTGGCTTCTGCGGAGACCAGGGGCAGTCCCCTTTTCTGTGGCTGCACGTCGCGTCCCAGGGGAGGGAGGCGCCCATTCTCCTTGGCCAGGACCTTCTCTGACCGGGACCAGCACGAGGGGGGCGTGAAGAACTTCTCCTGCGCACTGGAGTCCTCAGTCTTGTCGTCGTACGTGTCCTCCACATCGTCAGCGAAGGGGATCTCATCCACACTCTCAACGAAGGACTTCCGAACCTCCTCCCTGGGGGGCTGCGCCGGCTCCCTCGGGGGCCGCATGAACGTGGCAGGAGGGGGCGGAGGGATAACGGAGGCCTCCCTGTGCTCCAGGGTCGGATGGGGCTTCCTCCGCAGGGTGGCAGGCTCCTCGTTGGGGGGCGGGGGAGGGGGTGGGCTGGAAGGCGGAGTGAGCATGGTGGAGTCCGAGGTGTTGAAGCTCTGGCTGCCCAAGGTCTTCATGTTGGAGGAGCTGCCGTGGAGGCCCAGGCCCGAGCTGCTGGACAGGTCCCTCCGCTCCTCCTGGTTGCTCCTCAGGTCCCTGTCGGAGGGCGACTTTGGGGTGAGCAGTGAGGGCTGGTCACCGGCTGACTTTGGCAGGCCCAACCTCTTGGGAACAGATGGAGGCTTCAGAAGGCAGAGACCCTCCTCCTGAGGCGACCTATCAACTGGGTAGGACTTCAGGGATACTGGCTTAGAGGGGAGGCTGGGCTCTGACCCCTTGTTCCGGTCCACAGGGGTAAGGCCCAGGCTGCGGCGGATCTCGGCGCTCTTCATCCAGAACTCCTCTACCAGGTCGCTCCGCTTCATGGCCTCCTCCACAGCCTGGGGGCCGCTCAGTCTGTCTTTGGGGTCTCCTTGGCTCTTCGCAGGAAGTGGGGTAAGGGGCGTGGACGTTTTGGCTGGAACCGGCTGGAAGCGTATGGGGGATTCGGTGGGTGACGGGATGGAGGCATCTGAGGAAGGCTGAGGTTGGGAACAGATGGGGAGCTGGCTGGAGGGGGGTGTGAGAGGGGCCAGCAGAGACTCCGGCGGTGAGCCGGTGGGTGAGGTAGGCGTCCTGGCTTCCGGCAGGGCCACAGGCTGCGACCGGATGGGTGACTGCACAGTTTTCTGATCTTCAGGGGCTTCAGCTTTGGGCTTTTCTCTGGGAGGCAGAGGTGCAGGGGAAAGGGGCTCCTCGGGGGATTTCACCTTGGTGGCGACAGAGGCAAGAGAGGCCTGGGCCTCCTACACAGGAAGGAGAGAACAGAGGTTCAGAGAGGAGGGTTTCAGTAGCCAGCACCTGCCCTCAGGGAGCTTTCTCTCCCAAAGGGCCTACGTTTATTGAAATAAAATCCTCTCCATCGCTTGGCTGTTACTCAAAGAGCTCCAGGCGTGGCTTCCTCATTTTTCTGCTCTAATTGTCAACTTTTCAGGAACTCTCCATTTGGCGGGGATAGCCCGAGCTGCCCGAGTTGGTTCATCTCACTCACATCCATGTTCCTCGGTCCGGTCACATCAGCACTGGCCGAGGGCACTGGTGAACTTGGCTTTCATCCCTACCCACGGTGATCAGAGCTCCCGGGTTCCCTGAGGGACTACCATGGGGCTGACGCCGTGAGAGGGTTGTCGCTTTGCATGGCCTGCTCTCCAGTCTCACTGTCCCACTGAGGAATCGTGGAGATGCTCACAGACCCTTGTAACTCCCACCCCAGGGCTTCTCGGCTCGGTTACTGGACTGTGCCACGTCTCGTGGAGCTGCAAAGGCCTAGGCCTGGGCTGACTCCTTCCTGGTTTGCTCTGCACGTGGCACATCTCAGACTAAGGACCTCAGACACACTCATGACACGGCTCATTCTCTAAAGTGATTCACACAGTGCTGCCGATCTAGGGGCACGGTTTTCATTTAAATAGTTACACATTTATTTTAACATAGAGAAAAAAAATATACCTGTTATAAACCTATAGAAGCATAAATATCATTGCATCAACTTAAAAATAAGCCTGCCCACCCCTAAGGACTGAGGTAGCAGCTGAAGCACACACTTCGGCAGGGCCTTACCTAGTACAAGATAGGACCATTTTACAATTTCACAAAATGAGGTGGCTATATGGCCATTTCCCCACCCTTTTCGGAGCTTACATCATGGGTCCTAAGACAAGGTCACGTCTCCTCAAGGTCCTAAGGTCCCACTGACCACATTACCTCACCCTCCAGGGGCCTACTTACCTCTGCCCCAGGGCTTTGGGCAGGGGAGAACAGAACAGCTTGTTTCTGAGGAGACTGGCTGGAGACTTGGGAAGGACCTGAAAAGGAGGGACACAGGGGTTTATAGCAGGAATGAAGTCCTTTCCACTCTGCACATACCAGGAGCGGGGAGCAGCCAGCCCCATGGAGGGGCTCACGCTGCAGCCAGCCCCTTCCTAAGGCAGGAGGTAGCCTAGCATGCACTGTTTTCCTGGGTCTGCCCTCAGGCTATTCTAGGAAAAAAAAAAAAAAAAAAAGAAAATCAAGTGAAGGGACTCAAAGAAGGCACTGCCCATACCCCACAGGCTCCTTCTGCTGGCACTGGTCATTACGTGTGGTGGCTAGGATCTGGACCTCAAGCTTTGTGAGCTGCCTTTGGTCTTCTCACGCTCTTAAACAACCCAAGGAAAGGTACTACTGCCTGAGGCTGTAGAGATCTGTAGCCTCAGACAGGCACGGACCAGGACAGGGGCAGGTAGGGCTACCGCTAGGCACCACTCCAAAGGCCTCGCCCGGGACTACCAGCGTGCCCCTGTGGTCTCTGGCCCTCTGCAAATCATTCTTCCCGCCCCACTACCTCTCTCCTCTTGCTTTGGTGTGTCGGATGGCTTCTCTTCCTTGTCCTCTGACAGTCTCAGCTCCAGCTCGGCTTTCACCCCGGCCTGGCACTGTAAGCGTTGCTCCGTCTCGGCATCAGAAGGGATGTCATCAGACCAGTGCTGATCTGGAGGAGGTAGGCAAGATACGGGTTTGGAAGACATTCTGAGCCCCGGGTGTGTTCCTTTTCTGCGTCTGGCTTCCTTAGGGAGTCGCTCACTGGGGGGATCCACTGTGGCACGAGGTCTGGAGCAGGCTCGGCAGCCCCTGCAAAGCAAGCCTCTTCCCAGAGGCAGATTTGACACGAGGCATCTTACCTTCTGAGTGCAGGGTTTCCTGAAACCTGTGGTGCTTTTCCTTTTGTTGTGCGTGTAGGGTGTGTGTGTGTATGTGGTGTGTGTGGTGTGGGAATGCGTCTTCGTCCTCACCTGTGTGAAAGCTCCTGCTCTTCACCTTAATGCCCTGAACCTGGGGCCTGCCTTTCAGCTTAAATGGTTGGCCAGTGAGCCCCTGTGGTTCCCCTTCTCCCTCCCCCTCCATGCCTGGCCTTTAGGTAGCTGGACTCTGGCACTCCTGCTAGCAACAGGCACTTTACCCACTGAGCTATCTTCCCCATCCCCCCTGTCTGCTTCTTAAATGCTGTGACCATGACACAACAAGGCTGTGACAGAAACACAAAACCTTTCTTGGGGTGCCAGCAGACTTCTCTTCCCCTTTCTTTTGCTAGCCCCGGAATCCCTTCCCCGGCCCCCAAGGCTGCCTCCCTAAACTTCTGCTGTAAAGTATCTTTTCTGTGAGTTCCACCCACTCTGGTCCTGACCCCAGAGTGTAACAGGAGGTCCCAGGGGTGGAGAGGGAAGGCTGGGCCCCCTACCATCCAGTTCAGCGCCAGTGTCTCCAGGGTCCCCATCCTCTGCGGCTTCCCCTTCGGTCTCTGCCGGCTCGGACTCCACATCCTCTTCCAGATCGTTCTCATCCAGAGGGGCTGTAAAGCAGAGACAGTCAAGAATGGGAAGAGAAGGACAGACAGACAAATGACGGTGCGGGGCCCCGGAAGATAGTAATGCATAGGCCGTGGGGAGGAGGGAGGCCCCCGGACAGCCACAGGCAGTGCTCTGTAAGCAGTATGGGTGCCATGGCCACATTCCACTCTAGCAGGGCCAAGTGGAAGGAGGAGAGCAGCTTCCAGCCTGGAGGCATCACTTTCACCCAGAGGCTGCTGCTATGAGATCCGTCACCGGCAGCTTTTACCAGTGCCTCCATAACAGGCCCAGTGCTGGCCACCTCACGTACCAGCCAGGGGCCCCTGTTCCTCATGGCCGCCTTTAGGTGGTAAAGCTTAGGCCTGAGGGTCAGGTGACTCACATAGGGCCCTGCTCTTCACTGGCACTGGCACATGGGGAGGCCGATGCTTTTCTTGAGACAGGAGAGTGGTCCCGTGGGGATATGTAAAGTTCCCTGTCTGCCCAGTGTGGTGGCGCACACCTGTCACCCCGGCACTTGAGAGACAGAGGCAGGCAGATCTCTGTGAGTTTGAGGCCAGTGTGGTCTATAAAAGTAAGTTCCAGGACAGCCAGGGCTGTTACACAGAGAAACCCTGTCTCGATAAAAAGCCAAAAAGTTCCCCTTCTGGGCTCAAGAACTGCTCTTCAGGGCCGCAAAACGAAGTAAGGCACTCATGTGCTTCTCCTACCCTGAGGCAGATAGCCCCTGAGCTCGCACACCACTGGCCCTAGCCGGTGCTAGCAGAGGATCTACTGATGGCCCAGAAGCAGAGAACACTCTGCCTAGGGAGGCTGGCAGCCTGAGGGCAATGCTTTTGATTTCCATGGACCAAGGCATCGGAGCACATTTGGATTTTCTCTAGGCTGAGCTGAAAGTGGGAGAGGCCAGGACATCCTACTTACTGCCACAAGTCAGTGTGGGCCACTGAGCTCAGGTGACGCCAAAACTCGAGAAAGAGGCTCCCTTAAGGAAGGGGGTAATACCAGGGAGGGCCTATGAGTAGGAAGAGGCACCTTAAAGATTTTGGGAATGCTGTATTTCTTGATACAGGAAGAGGCAGTTCTATGAGTTTGGATTTCTTTAGCTTCCCATATTGTACACTTACTTTTAACATTTAATTCATAAAATGACAACAGTTCAAACTTACAGAGAACTTTTTTGTTTGTTTGTTTCCAAGACAGGGTTTCTCTGGGTAGCCCTGGCTGTCCTGGACTCTTGGCAGACCAGACAAGCCTCGAACTCACAGAGACCAGCCTGCCTCTGCCTCTCCAAGTGCTGGGATTACGGGTGGGCACCACCAAAGCTGGCTTGTTTGTTTGTTTGAAATACAGGGTCTCACTGTGTAGCTCTGGCTGGCCCAGGACTTGCTGTGTAGACAAGGCTGGCCTTGAACTCAGAGATCCGCCTGCCTCTGCCTCCTGAGTAAAGGCATGTGCCACCACGCCCAGAAGAACTTTTCCAAAGCTGAAACGGGAGAACTATGGCAGACAAGTCTGTGAAGCTCAGGGTTTAGGAAGAGGCTGCTGTACAGTTCCGGGCTGCTGAGCTCCACCACCTGTCCTTTTGGAGACCCCAGAGGCCTCCAGGGCAAGGCATTCTCCTATGCTCATGGCATTTTCTGGGATGGATGCTGGAGAGGAAACTACTCAATTGTTCCCACAGGTCTAACACCTTCCAGTGATCTTACTGCTCTGGGCCACTTGTAGGAGGTAGTCACCAGAGAATGTGTGACTGTGATTCTGGGGACACAAACACCCACTCAACAACACCCCTGGGTCCCTCAAAACTAAGCTTTGCACTCGGATGGTAAGTTCATTGCTGTACTCTTGCCATGTCAAAGAATAAGAGGCTGCTGGAAAGATTCCGGGCCCGCTCCAGAGGGCCTCTGCGCACAGCATGCTTGCTTGAGTGCCTGGCATCGAGGTGGGGACCACATTCTCTCTGGCAAGAGAGATGGAAGCAGCACAAAAGACAGCACTCCTAGGTTTCCCAGAGGCTGGCCCAGCCTCCAACCAGCCTGTCCTGGTTCCTCGGTCCTTCCCACAGTTTTGCTACTAAGAAACATCCGCTGTAGAGTCGGAAGGGGATACCTTGAAAGAAATGATGATCACGCATATCAAAAAGCAAACACTTGGATGCTGTTGTGCAGCAGTAGCGGATGTGTGCGGAGGCACAGCTAGAGCGATGGAACTGAGGGGTGGAACTCTTGTTAAGATGGAGCGCCGAGCTGGAAGCCGCCACGCAAGCGAGCAGCCACACACTACGAAAGCTGGGAGTCACCATTTATTTCGGCTGCCTGCTAGGACATCCTCCCTCCTCAGGCTCGTTCCTCTGGCTCAAAGGGTGATGGCTCAGGGTTAGCCTCACTAGATTCTGAGTCCTCTCGCACTTGTGGGCCCTCCTACCACATATGTCAACTGTCAGCTGCTGGTGAGGACAGTGAGGGAAGAGGTGGTAAAAAGACACACACATCATTCCTACCAGTCCTAGAAGTGACTGCCGGGATACTGGTTCTCAACCAGGGGGGACGCTGTCTCCTTTTGGGGGCCTCTTGGGGTTAGATGGAGACAGCTCTGCACTGAGGGCAGAAGCCAAGGACTAGACATCCTGCAGTGGGGAGGAATGCCTTAACCCAGATGCCAAGCATCCCTCCTAGGGAAACCGGTCCCCCTTGGCCTGTATAAAGAGACATGGTAGCTTAGTTCTGGGGACCTGTTCCAGTGCCACCTGGCTATGCATCGCACTGCCTAGCAATGCCCACCAGTCCTCACTTCTCTTAGGCAAACTTTCCACAGATTCCTGTTTGGACTGCTCCTTGGACGCACTGGAACCTCCCAGACTCCACGTCAATGCTACTCAGCTTCGTGGACGGGTTTAAAACTTCAGCATGAAAGGCTTCCCCTTCCCCTTGGGTTTCATGTCCCACTGCTAATGATAATCTTTTTTTTTTTTTTTTTTTTTTAAAGGCGTGAACTCCATCCTGTCTCTACTGTTGGTCTCCAGTCTGTCTGAGGACGGGGAATGCACTTCTGGTCCATGCGCAGATGGGCGGTCTGGCTAAGCATGCACGAACCCCCGCCCGCCGGCCCTCGCATGCACCAGCGACAGGAGCTGAGTCCTGGAGTTAAGGCGCCAGCCGAGCCGCCTAGAGAGAGAGGTTATAATGAACAGGGTGCAGGGTGGTCGTATATCACCAGACTACCTCCGGAGACAGTCTCCAGCCAGGCCTGGACTGCTGCGCGGCGTACGGAGGGGAGGCCGGTCACTGAATTTAAAACAGATGATAAACGCAAGGTTAACCACTGCTGAGGGAGTGCTCAGCAGGGACAGCTGAGGTCAGTCCTGGAATTCAAAACAGAGCAAGAGGAATCGAGATGTCATGGGATGGGTGGTCACCCGGCACTGACACAGGGTGTGCGTGTGTGTGAGTGTGTGTGTGTGTGTGTGTACTCGCAATCCGAAATTGGCCTGTGTGACAGGAACTTGGGACAAGGAGAGAAGACGGGGCAGCTCTAGCTGAGTTGTCCTTGCCCCCATCTTGCAGATCATCTTGATGTCCTAGAAGATGAAAACGTCACACAAAGGCCCAAGTTTTCCTCCGGACCAGAAGTGATTCTCTACAGCCCTTACTGGGCACATAGCTCTGGGTGGTCCCCACTAAGCCAGAGAAGGTGATGCTGTTGAGGGTCCTACGTGGAAGACAGGTGGCCAGAGAGCACGCCATATGGCCACCACACCCCTAAATGGGCTTTGCTTCTTTTTACTGCTACTCCTTAGAAGAAGCCAGAGGTTGGGCATGGGGTGGGGGGTGGGGGCGTACACCTGTAAGGCCAGCCGCTCTGGAGGATCCCGAGTTCAAGGCCAGCCTAGCTAGCTTAGTGAGACTGTCTTTAAAGAGAGAGAGAGAGAGAGAGAGAGAAGGAAGGGAGAAAAAAAAAAAAAAAAGACCAGGCATGGTGGCTCACACCTTTAATCCCAGTACTGAGAAGGCAGAAACAGGCAGGCCTCTGTGAATCGAAGGCCAGCCTGGACTACAGAGAGAGTACCAGGCTGGCCAGGGATACACAGTGAGACCCTGTTTCAAACAAACAAACAAACAAACAAACAAACAAACAGCATAGAAGGCAGAATAAAGCACACCTGCACCTTAGCGGGGAACTAGAACTTGGACTGAAAATGACAGTGGCACCAGAGGCTCCCTGACGTACTTCTCCTCACTGGGCTCTGGTCCTGCCACACACTCATGCGGTACCCACTCTGCAAACATACTCTGAAGAGGGATAAAGTGTGCCCAGCTGAGAAAAGCCTTCCAGGCGGGGTTCACTCTCCTGTTTTGCACCAGTACAGACAGCGCCAGCAAGCTCACAATTCAGAGAACTTTACACATCCCTGATTGAGAAGCAAGGACAGCGGCCCCCAGCAGACGGCCGGGGGAGGGGCCCGGAGTGGGTGCTCAGGAGGCACCCTGGACTCTGGGGCCCAATGCCGTTACCTCTAGAAGCGGAGGACTCAGAGGTTGGGAGCATCCTCTCCTCCGCCTCTCTCTCCCGGATGTGTGTCCAGTGCACGTCAGCCTGGATCGCCAGGGGATCTGCTGCGGTTACGAGGTGCTGCAGCCTGTTGCTCCCGGCTATGGTGCCGGGTCCCCCGGAAGGAGGCACAGCGAGGACAGAAGGGAAAAGTGAACAGTGGAGGGAAGAAGGGGATGAGACAGCACAGGAAAGGAAACAAAGAGTTACAGTGTTTGCCAGGACCAGCGTGAATCAGAAAGAGGTAAAAATTGAGAACACACATGCTTGCACACACATACAGCAACATACAGCACACACACCTTATAACAAACACTCACATACACCTTCTATTCAATTGGCTTGATTTAGTCATTCTGAGCTCCTCACACACCTCTTAGTTCAGTGAAACCCACACACTCCACCTCTAAATGCAGAAGGAATTCTTCCTCTCCATCAGGAAATGGATCTGAGGCCCTCATTGCCCCGGGGGCAACAGGGGTGATGACCTCACCTTGTAGGACCATCACTCCAGGGGCCCAAGGGGGTTAGCTAGCACAGCACAAGCTCCTGAGGACACCCTTCCTGCCAATCACAGGAGGGTGAGGGTGGTGCCGCTCTGCCAGGGGCCAGCCAGCTAACTAGGATAGACACATGCTTTTCTGGAACTTTAGTTTTTTTACCCTCTGCAATAAAGCTGCTGCTGTGGAGCTTTAAAGCCCTTTGGCCGGAGACCAAATGCTGCATGCTGGTCGCTGTGGCAGGGACAGTGACATGGGGGTCAGCACCGAGGGTAGGGACAGCAGCTAGGAGCCGGAGCAGAGGTCTGGAACTCCAGCCTTCGGGCAGGAGTGAGACCAAGACCTCTGCCCTCCTGTGGGTGACGCCTGCCCTTCCTTCCTTCCCGATGCTATCTGAAGGCCTTCTGACCTCTCTGGGCTTGAGACCTGCCTCTCAGGTAAACAAAAGCTTGCCAGCGCCCCCTTTGTGCGCGCCATGGAATTCACATGCAGCCCCTGGCCCCGCAGGACCATCTTATTAGTGCTTGAGTCATGCCACACGGTAGGGTTAAGGTAAAGGGACAGCCAGTAACTAGGGAGTGTGGGGGTGGGCACTGAGGAAGGCAGGACGGCTAGTCAGGCAGGAAGAGCAGGTGCCACGGATCTGAAGGACTGTGCGGCTTCTGCCGGAACCCAGCTTCCATCTGGGGAGTGTGCGTGCCTCCTCCCCTTGACACCCTTAATGTAATGAAGATGCAACATGGTGCAAAGACCGAGTGAAGGCTCCAATGTGGATGTTAAATTGCCTTGTGATGAGAAGAGTTGGCCCCAGATTCTCTTACTGTGATTCGCTACGGAATCACAACTTATCCCTGAAGATCGTCTGCCCAGATGGTGCTGGCAAGGGCTGAATCATGGCAAATGCACTGAGCGCTTAGATGCTCAGTCAGGACCGGGAGGGTGAGATGCAGAGAAAAAGGTTGGTCCTTTCTTTGGCTTCTAAGCAACAGAGGGAAGAGATGCTTTCTCTTTCTCTGGGCACAGCTCTGCCTTCTGCCAGCACTTGCAGCCTTCTGGTGTGTGTGTGTGTGTGTGTGTGTGTGTGTGTGTGTGCGCGCGCGCGCGCGTGTGTGGGGGGGCATAGAGAACCTGCAGTGAGATTGAAGAGCTGGGGCTGGGCAGTGAGGTTTAACTGGAAAAAGGCAACTCAGAGCAAGGGCTCCAGGGACAGAGGTGGGCCACAGTCTACAGACTTTGTTCTCTGTCCTCTAGAAACCTGTCACCTCACGTTCTAGCCTGTGCTTTGTCTTTCTGAGGAGGCTGGGTCAGAGACAGGTACTCAGCTAGGTATGCCCAAAGCCTGGGAGAGCAGCTTTACAAAAAAAGACCTTTCCGTGTGGGACCTGCTCTTGGAGGCGTAATTTGGATGGCTGCTTGGGAGCTGGGGTGGAGATGGGCAGCGGGCAAAGCGGGTACCTTCACGTGTACCCATTTCTTCTTCCTTTGAAAGATGCCGGAGCCACTGGCCTTGCAGTTGTTCTCTGTCCCAGGGGCAATACTCCCCTTCTACAGCAGGGGGAGCCAGACACCCACAGACAGCACCAAGAATCCCACAGCGGGACAGAGTGGAGAAGGGAACGGAGGGAGGAGAGAGAACAGAGAGCAGAGTTATCCCAGCTGCAAGCAAGAGTGTTCTGCCACTTGTCCACTCGGGCATCCAGGTCTGCTGCCCCAAAGATGCACTGCACAGTGGGGACAAAGGGACATCTAGGGCTTGGCTGAGTGTGCTGTCAACTTCCCAGCTTGGGATGTTAAGTCTTAATGAAGGGAAGGTGGACAAACTCGTCCCAGGGTTGTATGGGAGCTGGGAGCTGAAAGCGGCTAAGTATTCATCATCACGCAAACACATGGGAAAGCTGGGAAAGCATGGTATTGCAGGCATGACAGAAGAGAAAAACCATGCTCTGGCCAGTGCCAGGCTCCTTCTAGCACGTTCCTAATTCTTATCTCATGAAACGGAGCATGTCTGCCTAGATTCCACTCTGGCATTTGGAGGAGTCAGTGCAGGAGGATGGGAGATGAAGCTCTCTAGGGAAGCTGCTGAAACATCACCAAGTGTACTGACCCTGAGCAGGCTGGGATGGTCCAGGGCAGCGAGCACACAGAATCCAAGGACAGGCAATGGGAACACTGAGAGCTACGTCTCTGTGCCCATGCTGTCTGGAATTTAACCCCGTAATGCTGATGTACGACAGGAAGAACAAGAACTTGGCCCTCCCTGTGTCCCCTGGGAAGTGAACATGGCTCTCGAGCGGAGTTGAATTTCCTGGCTCCAGTCCTGGGTCCTTGCTTACCATCCACGGACCCTATGCAGCCAGTGATGTTCTGTATCTACACAGTCAAGTTCCTTATGTCTTCAGGTCACAAGCCAGACAGGGGGCTGGAGCTCAAGCCCAAGGTAAGAGGAGCTTTAGAAGCAGCCAGAATGGCTGGGACATTGTTCAGGCCCCAAAGGTTACAGACTACTGTGGCTCAATCTTAGTGAGCAGCTAAGATCCAAGGAAGCCCACTACCCAGCACCATGGGTGACTCCTTAAAGGAGCCAGCTTTCTCTGTCTTATTAGAATAAGGTCTACATGAAGCTGAGGGGGGAGGCGAAATGAAAAGGTGAAAGCAACTTAAGTTGGACCTAGTCTTCAGACGAGCTCTGCCTTCCACTTCCAACTAACTACACCAATGTACATGGACATTTTTCTCAGCTTGCCAGTGAGTGAGGGTTAGCAAACCTCCGTTCCTGAGGGCACATCCAGACTCTAATGCCTACGAGATTTCTTACACTCACACCAGAAACAGGGGGAGGGGTGGGCGGTGGGATGGGTCAGGTTCTGACCTTCGCTAGACTCCTCCTCTTCCTCTTCATCATATTCTTCCTCCTCTTCTTCCTCTTCGTATTCCTCCTCTTCTTCCTCCTCCTCTTCAGGCTCGAAGTTCTTGGAGGCCTCCAGCTCCTCTTCACTCCTCCCCTTCAGCAGGGCATGGATCCTTACTGCCTCCTTCCAGGGAACCCCGCCCAGGTCGGAGGTGGGGAGCTGATCCTCTTCCTCCTCCTCCTCCTCCTCTTCCTCCATCTCGGACTCAGAACTGCTGAGAGAAAGAAACCACACACTTTGAGTGAAGGGATGAGAGTGCTTGGAGAAGGCAGGCTTAAGGCCACGGTTAAAGAGCAGAGTGGGCAGGAATGGGGTGGGAGACAGACACGTGCGCCTATAGTACCTATGTAGACCCACGTGAGGAGCAACCCAACCCGTGGGCCCAGTGGCCACTCACTGCACACCCAAAATGGAGAGAGGGTTCCTGCTTGCCATTGTTTGGTGGAGGAACTCAACTGGACTCTATGCAAATTGGCTAGAAGTATCCAGTGAGAACCATGGTGGGTAGAGATGGGGAAGAAGCCCCAAGAGGCTGAACTGGCAGGCGTGCATGCCACACACATACACACACACACACACACACACACACACACACACACACACACACACACGCAGGAAGGACTGAGGATCCAATTCTCAAGGTGTTCAAGGTGCAAGCCCTCTATGGAGTATGCCACCCCCGTGAAGTGCAGGAAAGGCCCCATGCCCAGCACAGGTACAGCAGGAACCCCAGAAAAGGCCCCAACTGTGGGGGTCACCCTCATTCTTCTCATCTGTTTCCTTCACAGCACAAGGCCAGCTCAGCTTGGGATGAAAGCAGCGCTACATTCAATGACTCCTGCAGAGACAAAAACCCGACCTTTGCTCTGCTTCAGGCCCCACCGAGGAGGCCGTGTGACCTGCAGGATGCAGTCATTCGTGCCTTTGCTAAACAGGCCTCCGATCTGTCGGGAGACGGAGTCGGGAGACTCGGTCCTCCACCAGAGGTACGCGCTGGACCAGGCTGGAGAAGAGTCTGCCTTCATGAAAGTTGAATTTTATGACACAGGACTAACTCTGGGCCCAATCTCCACAGGGGTGAGGAGAGCACTGGCTTCCTGTAAAGCTGCTGCTAGCTGGGGTTAGTTCCTCACGGCCCCTTGTTATGTGGGAGTGAGTCGAAGCACACGCTGGAAGGCAGGCAGCGGTGCTCATTTCAGGAACTGGGTCTGATGGGAGGAAGCACGGTGACCTGGCCACACTCAGTCTGAATATAGGGAATGGTTACACCAGGAAGACCTAAGACTTTTCTTCCCCCAGGGGAAAGGGGGGGAGGGCTTTAGGTTGACCTGAAGACTACAGATCAACCACATGGATCTAGCAAAACTTACTATGTTACATAATGGAGTGGTAATAAAAACTCCAAAGGCCTGAGTGAATTCGACATCACATGTTTTGGAAACCGGGACAGCAAGGCTATCCTGACTCCATGGGAGCAGGACAGTGGAAGCTCTGAGTCTGGCCGTTTCCTGGATGCCACCGTGAGAAAATCTTTCCATGGTGGAGTCCTGAACCTCTGCATCCTTCCCCCCACTGTTAAAGGCCCTAGCCGGAGCACGGTAGCTTCCAGCAAGTTCCGACTTCCTCTCAAGCGGCTGAGTCTCAGGGTGCTTCTGGCAAACTCACACTGGTGAGCTGGGCCGGAAATGAGCACGCATCTTGTCTGCTGGCTCACTTCTCGTGGGAACACGCTGCTGTCTCTACCGCAGGCTGCAGACCCCCACCCCGACCCTGCCTGTCCTAGCAAGCTGATCATTAATGATCCCCGACCCCTGCACTGCGATAGGCCCTACCCATGAGCATGCCAGCTTCTGAAAAGTTCTGGGTCCCTCTCAAGCAGCTGAGCCTCTTAGAACCGTGGTCCTCAACAGGCAGGCTATGTGGTGCCTGTCTCACAGGTTGTGAGGAAGGCTAGGGATCTCGGACTGTCCCCATTTCTTTTTAAGATTTATTTCTTATGTTGATGAGTGTTCTGCCTGCATGTACACCTGCACACCAGAAGGGGACATCAGATCTCAGTATAGATGGTTGTGAGCCAGAATTTGGGAGGCAGAGACAAGGTTCACTCTGTGTTCAAGGCCAGCCAGGGCTATAGAGTGAGGCCATGTCTCAAAAGCAAGAAACAAGGAAGAAGAAAAGAAAAACGATGGAAAGCCTGGCACCTGGGTTCCGGACATTTCCCCCGTTATCTTTACTGCCCCAAGATTCTCACAGTTTCATCAGCTTACTTTCTCATTCGTGAGGTGTGCTGTGAGCGCCACACACCGTTGCTCGTATCTGGAGTAAGGATATGGAGACCTCAGCACCCATCTGTAAATTTCCCGTCTCTCCGCCATGGCTCAGTGTACCCAGTGGCTCGTCTACACAGGCTGGGAGGGAACCACGCCTGGCTTCGCAAGAGAGGGGCCTGAGTTGTAGCCTGACCTCACCCGTGCCATGCTATTAGGGTGGCTGTACCGAGTGTAATTCGGGTGATGAATACCTCCCTCTGTGATGAGGACAATGAAGCCCCATGATGGCTATTAGTGCCACTCCAGCTAGTTTTATGACAGCTCAGGGGCTGTGAGAGGATGGCAGCGGGAGCGGAAAGGTCAGCCCCCACTCTCCTCGATGGGCTGTAAGCATGAGCTTCTACAAGAGGCACTGCTATTTGCTCCTGCGGAGCAGCCTCCCTCACTGCAGGAAGGGCAGAGAGAAACCCACAGGGGCTGGCAGCAGCTTCCATTAGGGCCAGCTTGAGGGTCGACCCAGGTCTTAAGTCACGCAAGATTCAAGGTGTCAACCCAGGGCCCCGTGTGTGCCCGGCAAGCACAGCACCACCGCGCTGCACCATCAGCCTCAAGGCTCACTTTAGGTCTCCCTGCTTACCCAGGCTCCTGAACCTCAGAGGTCTCAGTCTGTTGAGGGAGGGGAGGAACCCGAGAAGGGGGCCTCCCTTGGACTACAGCCTGGACACTTTTTATGTGAGGAGGATCCAGACAGTAGCAGAAATGCAATAAAAATGTCCACCTTTCTTCCTTCTAACAAAGGGATCCAGCCTCCCGGGAGGGACAGGGAGCAGGAGGCCGAGGTAGGAGAGTGATGGGTTCAAGGCCTACTTGAGTTACACAGTAAGTTTAAGGCCAGCTTGGGCAACTTAGTGAGACGCTGTCTCAAAATAAGAAGGTAAAGAAAGAGGACCAGGAGTATAACTCAGTCCTGACGCTTGCCTGGCGTGCACGAGCCGTGGGTTTAATCCCGGGAGTGTAGCGTACTTCTGTGTCGGCGTCCTCTGAGGACATTCCCTCTGGACTCACTTCCTTAGCCACAGGGCCCCTCCGCTAACAGCTACTCTTACAGCCTCGCCTCGCCAAGTAAGACATAAGGAAATCAGGACTTCCAGCCCTGTGCCCAGGCTCCTCAGCGCTCCCCCCCCCCCCCCAACCCGGGGGAGTTTCAGGACCGGGGGCTGGGGGGGGGGGGGGGGGGGATGTGCAGGAATTTGGTCCAGATGCACGTCTCTGAGAAGACAGATCTTACAGAGTTCGGTGTCGGTTCCCTGGGATCCTCTCCCTCCCTCCTTTCTTTTCCTCACCCTATTTCTCTCTCTTTCCTTCTTCTGGCTGGCCTCAAACTTGCTATGTAAGCAAGGATGAGCTTGAACTTCGGATCCTTCAGCCCCCACCTCCCGAGTACTGGGATTACAGGAGCACAGGATTGCAGTGCTGGGCATGAAATCCAGGACTTCTGTATGCTGGGCAAGCACTCTGGCAACTGAATTACGTCCTCAGCTCCTTCCCACAGCGTTCAGAGGGAAACAGGGAAAGGAGGATGGCTTTGACTCTTAGGTTAAGCTTTTCCTATTCAGTGGCTGCAGTCTGTTCTGCCACACCCCTGGTCCCACTGACCCTGACAATACTCTGATGCCAAGCAGGGAGCCAAAGAAGGCACGAATTGTTCTCTACACTCAACTGTGGAGATCTCACATGCTATCAGCCGGGACTTGCATTCTCTGCTGCCTGAAGAATGCCTTCTGGCCGGAGGCAGAAGAGAGAGGTGGACAGCGACTCCTGTCTATTCATGGCCTGCTTCCTCTCGTGACACTGCTGATGCCATCAACTCTGGGGAGTCCTCTGAAACCTTGAATGTCCCGTTTGCTCACTGACGGGCTTTTTAATTTTGTCTTAGTTTAGTTTTTGGTTTACCGATTTTTCAATTAAAAAAAAATATTTATTTCATTACCAATGTTTTACTCAACTATTTGTTGGTGACATGTCCAAATAAGACAGGTGAGGACATCATATTCCCTGGGACAGGAACTACAGAGGGTTGTGAGCCACCATGTAGGTGCTGGCTGTGCAAGCCAGGTCCTCTGCAAGAACAGACAGTGCTCTCAACCACTGAGCTGTCTCTCCAGCCCTGATTTATCAGTTTCGTAGGTGTGTGAGCGTTTTATGTATCTGTGTACCACATGCATGCCTGGTGCCTTCAGACATCAGAAGAGGGTGCCAGATACCCTGAAACTGGAGTTATGAAAGGCTGTGAGCCACCATGTGGGTGCCGAGAATCGAACCTGGGTCCTCCACAAGAGCAACAAGTGCTCTTAACCACTGAGCCATCTCCCCAGCCTCTGTTCTTTAGAATTGACAGAGGGCAGGCAATAAGGAACACAGCAGCTGGGCTGTGCTCAGGCTGCCTTCCTAAACATGCTGTCAATTCTCCCTGCCTTTGGTGTCTCTCTCCCATCCCCCAAACACACACACACACACACACACACACACACACACACACACACACACA